GTCGTTACTTCATTACGACTTTTCTCCCCCTTTATTATCGAGAAAACGCGCGCGACCTGTTCGCGCGCCAAGAGTTCCAACAATTAGATTCCCAAGAAATTACGATCGCCTTCTCTCCACATTGTTTCGTTCGTTGCCGTCGTATCAAAGAGTTAGTTTCGTGCGTAACGCCTCGCGCTCGGAAAAGCAGAGATACCGGTACTACGCGTTCGATAATGACGACGCCGATAATAATCAGTAATGATAAGTAATGCGGTAACTCTCATGGCTGGAAAGAAGAAAAGCCATTTTCCATGGCAAATAACGTCAAAGTGGTGTTATCCTCCCCCATATCCCTATGGGTATTCTTTTACCTTTTTATGATGCGACGTCGAACGTACACGACTTTACCTTTGATTTATACTTCCGACAGGCGTAACGAACTCGCGAAAAGAGAATCAATAATAACGCTCGGTTCTAAGATAATGTTTTCGTATCGATCTTCTAAACTGTTCTTTCGTCGGTATGCCCAATAGTAGTCTCCCGAGAGAAAGATAGAGAGAGAGAGAGAGAGAAAAAGATAGAAAGAGAAAGATCTATCGCGTTTTCTTATATCCCAGCCTAATCAATATCCCAGGAACCGAAGCAAAAAATTCTTGCAAGATTTTTACTCGACGGGTTTCTACATACTTTTCCAAAAGGATCTCGGAGAGCATGAATCAAAGTTCGCCCCGTCGCTTTCGCGATATTTATTGCTCCGTTCCGATTTAGTCGCCTACCAAGGCGCAGAGAGAGAGAGAGAGAGAGGGAGAGATTTATACGCGTCGCGTATTGTTGGATTTTCTTATGAAAATGGTGAAACAGGACACAGCGTATTTCGGAGATCAGACGGAAAAAGAGAGAGGAGAGCGCAAGAAGGGAGATGAAACACGCGCGTTGCCGCGACTCGAAATTTATTCGTCGGACCCTTTCTTTCTCTTTTTAACCGAAAGAACCAACCTCCGTCCTAGATGTCCACGCAGATAAGGCGCGCGTGCAAGACAGCCGGGGGACAGAGAGAGAGAGAGAGAGAGAGAGAGAGAGAGAGAGAGAGAGAGAGAGAGAGAGAGAGAGAGAGAACCGGAAACGCCGCAGTTTCGTCGACTTTCAATGAAATCCATTGCTCGCTCTTAGACGAGAGATGCTAGGAGAGAATATATTTTTCGAAGAAAATGAAAGGAAACAGAGAGAGAAACAGAGAGAGGAGGAACGAACGCGAGGATAGGAAGGGACAGAGACAGACAGAGAGAGAGAGAGAGAGAGAGAGAGAGAGCGGGTTCTGGTGGCGCGACGGGCCCAAGAGAAACCGTGAATGGAAAGGGCGATGTTAGAAATTCGTCGTCGAGCCGGCCGTCGCTCGTCCAGCGTTCTTCGTGCTTGACGTACGTCGTTCGAAGAAGAGACCTCGTCCCCTCCCTTCGTTCGTCGGGAGAGTACACTCGCGGAATACCTAACAACTTTCGTAGACCGGGCAGACGGCCGAAAAGTTCTGCTTGAGACAAAGCAAAGAGGAGGAAGAAGAGGGGGTGGTGCTGCTGACGGTGATGGTGCCGATGCCGGTGCTGGTGGGCGGCCGCGACGTGCGCTGCCCGTTTTTTGCGCTTAAACTCCCCTCGTCTCGCCTTTTATTTGGGCCAGACAGGAATTCGGCTAAATGCATTGATTAAACTCCTGACATCGTTCGGACGGCCCGGTGGCCACCGTGTCTCCGCGGACGAGTTCGATCTTTTTTTGCGATTCCCTCTCTTCGAATCCCTTATTTTACGTTCGACGTGTTCTCCGACGGATTTAACAACGAGCCGAGCGAAAGAAGAGAAAGAGAGAGAGAGAGAGAGAGAGGCAGAGAGAAAGAGAAAGAAAGTATATATGTACGAGACTTCTTGCGAAGGAAGAAACTCGCTCGGAGAGTAGACGCGACGTTGTACGAACGGGCCCGCGACAAGGTTCTAACGACTCGTCCTACCTCGTTAACGTCCGATATCATCGAACCCTCCAACGATAACGGAGCTCCTCCTTTTCCGATAAATATCCACCTTTCCGATTATAAGGGTAGATAATATCCATCGAAGATCGACCAGTTATAATCGATTACTAATTACTCACCCATATCTTATTTGAAACGTGCTAAGGTACTGTGATATTCTTGTAAAACAAGACGAGGGAGAAGCAATTCCTATATCGATAATGTTTCAAATTACGAGGTGAAACAGTACGCATGTAGAAAAAGAAAAAGAGAAAGAGGGAATATTTCGATACTCATTGAGACGTTCCCTCATCCGGAATACCATCGAGCGATACATATCATTCAAAAGGCCTCGTTTCGAGTCTCGCTCTTATACTATTTCTCTCTCTCTCTCTCTGTCTCTCTCTCTCTCTCGCTCTAGCAGAAACGAATGCATCTCTTCGCAGCTCGTTCGGCAAGCAAAGCACGAGGCAAGTTTGGCATGCATCGCTCGCTCCTCGGAGCAGCCAAGAGCCATCTATGGAATTACCCCGATGATTAATGGTGCGGCTGGCTCGAGGCACCCTTTTCTTCCACCTCCATCCCTTTCTCGTCTCTCTCTCTCTCTCTCTCTCTCTCTCTTTCTGTTGCTTTTCGTATGGTCCCGTAAAACGGACGCCTACGTCTCCTCTTCGACCATCGCCTTTGGGCCCATCACCGATCTCTTTCCAATTGTTCTTTCGCCGTCGCGTAAAAACGCTCGCTTTAAACCCGTCCTGTCGAGCAGCCAGATTCTCTCTTTCTCTTGCAGGATCCTTTTTTCGGCCTATATCCTTCGATTCCTTAGGATTCTAGCAAATACTAGAAAACGAGACGACCGAAAGTTGTTCGATAGGCGAGAGCCGAACGGATTTCGGATCGCATGTCGACGGACAGTAAAAGAGAGGCAAGTCGAATAACCGAGGACGGGTGCATCTTCTCCCTTCTCCTTATTTCTCTCCTTCTTCTTCTTCTTGTTCTTCTTCTTCTTCTTCTTCTTCTTCTTCTTCTTCTTCTTCTTCTTCTTACCAGCATGAAATAGCAGTGATTCCGCGGAAATGTGCAATATCTTTCGTGATCGGGTATTATTACGTCGTGATTAGGGGTCAGGATCTAGGCTAGAAACGTCTAACGTTCCCCTCCCCCGTCAACGGACAAAGGTTCGCGAACGTAAGGGCGTCCTCGTCCTTCTCTCGTCACGCGCCGTCATGCGATTCGTGACGAGCGCGAATCGCCGTCGTGGGAAACGACGTGCTTTCTATTATGGCTCCTCTCGATTATTCGCCGCGCCGCCGTGATCAACGACCTATGCCGCAATGCCGTTCCTTTTAATATTTTCTACCGTTTTACGTGAGAGATAGTTATCCAAGAGCAGAGTAAAATAATAGGAATAAAATGATCTCTCGAGAATTAAAAGATCGCTAGATTGAGCTAGATTCTTCTTCCTTCCTATTTGACAAAATATTCGTCATACGTTTACGTTGGACTTGGCGAATCAACGATAAAACGCATCACGACGGATAGAGTTTCGTAACTCGGCGGTATTATTCGAATGGTTTTCCCCTCGAGCCGGAGGTAATAACGAGAACGATCGTGCCAATTGAATAGTGATTTGCCACGTTCTTTCAAAGGTATGACAAAGGTATTTAACGATAAAACGAACGAAGAGAGAAAGAAAGCGGGACCGTCGACGTAATTTCGAGATTCTAAAGTTGAAAGGAAGTTGGTCGTCATCGTCGAGGAACTAACGACGATCGACAAGCGACACTTTTGGAGTCGAACGTAAAAGAAAGAACCAGAGAGAAAGAGAGAGAGAGAGAGAGAGAGCAATGAGGCGAAGGAAGAGGGGCCCGCATTGCGGAACGATGCGCAACGACTGCACCTGACACGTCATTTGCGAGGAACGTGCATCGACGAAGACCCGATAGCTGATCATTATTCCGCGTGTGCGAGTACATACGAGCGCGCGCGCGCGCGCGCGATTCTCTTGGTGTGGCTGCTAAGTCGAGGTCTCAACGACCATGCCATTCGTTTCCACGCGTCGCCGATCGCGAGCCGTCGATCTTACGACGACGATGACGACGACGACGACGACGACGACGTCGAACGACTACTTTCGACGAGGAAGATTCCATCGATGTTATCTCATCTTCCTCCTTTGCCAATTCATCGTCGCGAAACTTTAACAACGGTCGATCGCTTAACGATCGATTTCAAAACTTTCCAACCAACCGATAATTTCTTCCTCCTATGAAATCGTCCGTCTAATTTTATTACGGCGGGCTTTAAAATGATGGAAGATCTCTCAGGGATAAATCCAGGATGTTCTCCCGGGTAGCTGTTCCCTCATTCCCCCGAGGTAGGGTCGAGTTTAATAAAAGATGCCGGTGTATGCGTTCGCGATAGAATGTCGCACGGTGTCGCTCGTTTTTCTTTCTTTCTTTCTTTCTTTTCCATTTTTCTTTTTTTTTTTTTCGTTCATTCTTTTTTCTTTTTGCGCCCTTTTTCGCCTCTCCGCAGGAGGTAAAGGGAAAGTGTCGGGAAATCTACGCGCGATATCGGTTCTCGACGAGTTCTCCGCCGAGAATCCCGATTTTACGAGTAAGATTTCGTGAACGATAAAGAGGAACGAGAAGGCCGGCTGCGATTCGGCGAGTCGCGGAAGTCATTTGCCAAGTAAGATGGCTAATTGGCTCGCGAAACGGCGATGAGCCGAGATAATAAACCGACGGCCTTCCTCTTGCGTAAAAGCCCGTCGTCGGCGAGAAGCTATCACGGCGGACCTTGCGTATGCGCGATCTGCTCTTGCATATTCGCGACAGAGTATCCTTTTTCTCCATCTCTCCTCTTTCGACTTTCCCTTTCAAAGTAACTTTGCCAACTTGGAAAATGATCGCTATCCTCGCTCATTAAAAATTTCCATTTCCGTGCGGCTCAAAGTGTACTCTTAAAGTCGATATTGAGATTATATGATAGTTGATAATTTCCTTTGCATTACTAGAAGACCCGAAGGAGATGGAAGAAGAAGAAGAGGAAGAAGAAGAAGAAGAAGAAGAAGAAGAGGAGGAGGAGGAGGAGGAGGGGGAGGAGGAAGAAGTGGAAGTAGACGTAGGATAGGAATGATTCTAATAAAGCAGTCGAATATCCAACAAGCGGTCGTTTCAATTAAATGGCCCCATGGGTGCCAGTGGCGTGCAGCACCCTACGACCGGGACGTGATTAAAAGTGACGTTGAACCGTAGCTACCGAAGCCACGGGGGGCTGATTGTCGGGGGGTTGCGCGTAGCTTTTTCCTTCTCCCACGTGTTTAGGCTAATTTTCTCATGTCGAGGCTCTTCTCTTGGAGAAGGTGAAAGGAGAGGTTCACGCTCGATTTATTCTCGAGAACAGCGAGAAACTACGAAAGACGAAGGACGATCGGAACAAAGTACAAAGCACGGAGAGCGATCGTCGATAAAGAACGTTGCTTGGTCAGCCTGAATATGTGTAGGTACGCGCGCGGGCGCACGCTCGAGAGAGAGAGAGAGAGAGAGAGAGAGAGCGCACTGATATCCGCTTATCTGGTACGTAACTCGTGTACGTAACGGTATCGCGTACTTTTAAATCAGTCGCACGAGGGTGAAAATACTGCGTCGTCGGTGTTAAACGAGCACCGTTCTTCCTCTGAAAGTTAATTCACGCTCTTTTAAAAATCCATATATTTTTCTTTGGTATAAAACGGACGATTAGACGATCTAGTTTTCTCGTAGGGAAAAAGACATCGAACGCAACTGGGGAATGTTTTACCGTAGAGAATTATGGCGCGATACGTTTAAACGTGCGTCGCGAGTCATGTAATATATTTTTTATCGAGGCACGCACGCGGCCTTTTTTCGTTATCGCGCCTTATGTCGTACCGCTCCGACCTAAATGCATTCGCAATTTTTCTTCTTCCTTCTTTCCTGTTACGGCGAAGAAGAAGGAGGAGGGTTAAGGAAAGTCCGGCTGCGTTACGATTCGACGATACGCACTTAAAAACGGACGAGGTATGCCGATAAAGACGACATTTGTCAAGTCGCACGACCAAGGCAGATTTTATTCATTTAGCGCACGCTCTATCGCCCGCATTAATTTGGATTTTATTTTTTAATAACAATCATTAATTGCAAGCTGCGTGCGAGCTGCATTTACGAGAAGCGACTATCTCGGGGTAACATCGAAAGAAACGTCACTCGTTCGATTGTCGTAATTAAATGCCGCTAATAAATTTGTATTCGTAGAATGTATAAACTATATATGAAATTACCGCAATGCGTAAGTCGCGTTTACGTGGCACGTGGTAATATCTCCATGTATGAATTAAATATACAACTTAAAGCGTACCTAATAGTAATATATATGTAGATCGCGAAGCGATGCCTTCTTTAATTCCCCCAAGCGGTATCTGCCGTTTAAAGAAGAACCTCTTAATCTCGAAATTGGTCGCATGGTTTCTCGTTGGCCATCGCGATGAGAGGTAAAGTAATAATCAGAATTCGTGCGAGGCCAATGCGTATTGCGTGTGACGACGAATCGGTGCTCGATGCGTGCGTGGGCGTCCCTTTTCGTCCTTTCCCTTTCTCTCTCCTCCCCCCTCTCTCTCTCTCTCTCTCTCTTGGCGTCTCCTTGACAAGCGGGTGTTTAATTGGCGTTGAAACCACTGGTGTGACGGGAACATCGTACCGTGGCGTCGCCCGAATGCCTGAATCCTTTGCAGTCGAAGCTAGCAAGCAAGTCTAGAGAATCCGCCATCGCTGCTCCGCTGCTGGGGAACCTGGTAATTACCTACTCGTGGCACGCAACTACACTTATACTCCTCCTCGTCGTCGTCGTCGTCGTCGTCGTCGTCGTCGACATTGCTCTCTCTCTCCCTCCCTTCCCCTTTCTTCCATTTTCCTCTTTGCCACGCTCGAGAACGCGATGCGTAAGAGTATCCCTTCGTTAAGACCCGAGGGAAAGTTAGCCTTTGATAAAAATGCGCCCGTGACTCATTAAAGAAAAGGCAAGGAGCGTGGATACGGGAAAAGCCCGATTATGACATTAAGCGAGGTGCAAACGATTGCACGCTGTCGTGTTTACCTCTTGTTATTATTTACCAGAAGACGGTCTTAATTGAGCGACTACCAATGATCCGGCTCCGTGCATTCTCCTCGGTTGGAAACTTTGCCGTGCGCTACGCGGATAGATGGTATGCGCGCTCGCCATGCATAATACGAGAGTTGTATGTGTACACCTAATTATTCCTGACGACGCATTATCATAAATCTTATTGCCAGCACCGGTGTACGCGCGCGCGCGCTCCGCTCTCTCTCTCTCTCTCTCTCTCTCTCTCTCTCTCTCTCTCTCTCTTTCTCTCTCTCTCTCTCTCTTTTAGTTTAACGTACAGACAGCTGCTCGAGCCCGGCTAGACGTAGGAAAAAGAGAAAGAAGCTGAAGACTCCGACAGCCGCTTGCTTACCGCTTGCGTCAATCTATTAGGGCCCGCGATACGCCTTTGAGATTATCGTATTTCGTACCTATACGGTGGTATGCCAGGTAAAATAGAAGCAAGCGATTTTCTCTTGCGCGGGCTATCGCAATGACTTATCGGAGAGACTTCCACGATCGTTCGACGCCTCTTGGTAACCAAAAGAAAATGTTAGAGCCGTTTCGATTCTTTTCTCTTCTTCTTCTTCTTTTCTTTTCCTTTTCTCTCTTCTAGCTCGTTCGAACGTTATCATCTACGCACTCGTAAAACTCACTTTTACATCCGAGCGAATGGATTTATAGCGTTTGCTTACGTAGTAGCGGTTCTTCGTTGGAGAAAATCTAACCGATTACTTTTACTTTCTATCTGGAAATATAACAAATGATTGCGTGCTTTATTAAAGATTTTCTTGATACTATTTTATAGATCTATTTCGAAGATTTATAATATCGCAATTATGAAAACGCGCGTTGTTTTCATCGGAATTTCTCTGATTCGATTCCGGCCAGTATTTACAACGTTAAATGAAAATGAAATCGCTCTTTAATAACCGATAAATATTAAAATCGATGGAAAGACGTATTGTTTCAAGTTAAATATATTAAAGGCCAAAGTGTTTAATTATTTAAATGTCTCGTATTTATCGAGATCCATTTAATATTTGCAGTTTGCAGGGCTTGTACCGACGTGAACGTATCCGTGAGTACGTTCTCGGTCGTATCAACCAATTGATTGGACGAACGACGTTTAGAGGGTAAAAACATTTGTTCGTACGTTTAATCGGTCCAAACAAAAAAAAAAAAAAAGAAAAAGGCATCGCCTTCGGGAAGAGCGGTAATTAAATACGGGTCACTCGTGCTTCTAATGCCGCGAGGCAACCCTATTATGATCTCATTAATCATAATCAGCGGATCGTCGATGTGGTGCATTCAATTAATAGATTCATTGCGTATCGCGTGCAAATTAATATATGATAATTCACTAGATTCCGCCTGTAGCTAGAATTGAATCAATCAACGAGGTAGACGATGATATGTATTTGACGGATCATCCGAAAGAAAAAAAAGGAGACAGATATATCACGTAGAGCGCAGTTATATTCGGCTATACTGAATTTATCGAGCTAATCTACATGAACGCTGCCGTATCGCTATCACTCGATGGACCGATCTTCATTTCTTTTCTCATTGACGACGCATCAGTTTCCCCTCGGTATGGAACGAAACGAAAAGATTACGATCGTCTGATAAAAATGTCGTCGACTCTTGGAAAAACGCAATGATTCGTAAGATACAAGGAGATACACGAGTACCCTTTTCGGTAATCCGGACCGAGATATCTCCTAGCTATCTCTTCGTAAAGCCTATTAATTAGCTTTGCTTACGGGGATGTCGCGTAAAGAAAAGCGGAGAGAGAGAGAGAGAGAGAGAGAGAGAGAGAGAGAGAGAGAGAGAGAGAAAGAGGAAAAGGGCAGTATAGGAGACTGTCGGTGGCGGCAGCGGTAGCGACGGTACGGGGGTAAAAGGCACTTAGAGTAAGAGTGTATAAAGCAGGCGCACCCTCTGCTGTTAGAGAACGAACGAACGAACGAACGAACGAACGAACGAACGAACGAACGAACGAACGAACGAACGAACAACAGACGGGTGGTCGCTGCCAGGGAGAGTGGGGAATATTTAAAAAGTAATATCAATTACATTTGCATATTCGCCCACCCATCCACGAGCCGCCCCTTTCCTCTTTCTCTCTTTATCTCTGTCTCTGGGACCATCCCTTCGTGTAGTATAGGGGTTGCCAGTTTTACCAACGCATCCTATAGTTTAGTTATACCGTTAGAAAAGTACCTGCACGACGAAAAACTCGGAAGGCCTACGAATGGCCGACAAGACGAGAAAAGTGCAATCTGTTTTTTCCTTAACGATTTTCGAGACAAGAATATTCTTCCTTTACATTTGTACTTTGTAAAAGATAATGATCAGGAATCAAACGAATCGCGAATAGATTATCGCCAGAATCGGGGGCAAACTTATAATATCTTGCGAGTTATCGGTGTGTATATAACAAACGTGCGAAATCTCTCGTATTTTTATGCTAACGGGGAATATTAAAGAGGGGAGGAAAGAAGGAGAAAGACAAGACGGAAGGGTGGGAGGGCAAAGGACGCTTCGTCGTCGCCAGTAAGAAGATTTTACGTAGATGGGAAAGTCGCGGGAAAGAACGAAAGGGACGAAGAGATGCACTTTTGCGTGAATTTACGTAAAGGCAGTGCCGTGCCGCAATACGATAATGCGATAACGCCGTTTCCTTCTCTCTCTCTCTCTCTCTCTCTCTCTCTCTCTCTCCTTCTCCCTCCTTCTTCCGTCCAAAGGGATTTCGCCATTGTCCTCGAGCCGATTGTTACTTTGCCGAGGCGTTAACATAACAATGCGCAAACACGGCACGTCCCTCTCTTCCTTTCGCGAGAGTTTCGCCCCGTATTTTTCTTCCCTCTCGTTAAAACAATTTTTCATCTTCGAAAAAAGCCTCGCAAGATAAGGACGAGGAAGCGGAGAAGGAGAAGGAGAAAACCTTGGAGCGGGCAAAGCACGCTCGTTCCATTATGGTTTATTCGCTCGCTCGAAAAATGTGGCCTTTCTATCTTTATTTAGTAGAAATCGAGTAGGAGAATCTAACGAGCAACGCGTCGTAGACTCGATCGTGGTAACGAGTCGCAATCATTTTTTTCCAGTCGGAATCCGTCGGCTTCGTCGTTTATCTTCGAGAGGAGCAGGAAAAATGACGATACGCGCGGGGATCTTAGATGGAAAGGAAGAGGGAGGAGACGAGGGAGTTTGCCGGAACGACGAGAAGTCAGGGCACTCAGCGTGGCTAATTGCTCGAATCATTAAGAAAAAACATGAAATCTAAGCCAGGGCTTCTCGCGCGCGCGCGTACTCGCTCGCTCGCGCTCGCCCGAGCACAGTGGGAAGGCACAAAGTCGAGATAATGATCGTTCCAACGAACGCAAGTACTACGTGTATGCAGTATCTACTATAATGAAAATAATCACGTCGGTACGCTAACGACAAGCGTCTTTTATTCCAACTCGTTCGATTCGTTATCGTCGTCGATTATTGTCGTTGCGATAAACTCGAAATTGCACTTCTCTTCCCATCTCTCTCATCTTAGCTTTTTTCCTTCGCTTTCTATTTCTTCTTCTTTGGCGACAGTTAGAACGACGATCGGTGCAAGGCGCGATTATCGAACGAGCAGCCGGCTCGAATAACGCTCCGCCGCGGCTGCAGGCTCAGGTGTCTCTCCTCGGCTCGCGGACTCTATTGTGCGTACAGGGGTGCATACATTACTTTCGACGGCCCTCTTGCCTTCCTCCTCATGGCACCCACACCGCGATGCGGCCAGGTGCGACGACGACGTACTACGTATAACCATCCCGTGACCATATATCGCGCGCGCGCGTTTCTCCGCGATTGCCGACGCAAACTTTACTACAATTTACTTTTCAAGTAATCTTGAAGAAAATTATTGTCCGACTCATCGGTTTCTTTAACCCTCTTTCGAACATTCCAACTGCGAACGGTCTCCTCGATTCCTCTATACGGGCGTAACTTTTATCATCGAATTTATGTTACCACAGGCGCAATATTTCGTTCCTTTCGTCCAATTTCTATCAAGACGTTGGTTATTCGCATGCGCGTTGCGCGACAGTTTATTTGATCCACGACCGGGAAAAGAATTTTTTCTAAGATAAACGTCACTGCGACGGCGATTACGATCGACGTCGAAGCGACGAGCATAAACGATAAACGACGTGGCTCTCTCACGGCTGGTAAAGATACGCGCAAGTAATAGCGAAGCATCCTCCACGAAGTATCCTTTACGAAGTAGCCGCTTTATTTAGATTTTTGATTTCAATAAAAAGTTTCTCGTGTACGCGAAGGCACGCAAGATCCGCCTCTCTTCTCTTCGCCATCGACGTCATCCGGCATAGAGCTTCCCCCTTCCCCTCCCCGTCCGCCTATTCGTAATCGCGTCATATCTTTCAGCGGTGCGAGTCTTGGCGAAAACAAATCTTGAAATGCGACCAGGTGCGCGTGACAAAGCATTCGTCGCGTTCTTTAAGGAACATAAACTCGATCAGGAGAAAAGACTCTCGTAGAGGAGAGAGAGAGAGAGAGAGAGAGAGAGAGAGAGAGAGAGAGAGAGAGAGAGAGAGAAGGGGAGGGAGGTGGGTGGGGAGGGTGTGTGTGTATGCGCGGGGAGGGGGGGTGTTGTTGCGATGGAAGAAGAAGAGCGAAGAGGAGGAGGAGGAGGAGCGAGGCCTAATATGGCCGCCATCCTCTGTATTCCGGTCGTAGCCGAGGAGACCAACCGGGTGCGGCTCCAAAGACAGCTTTCAATGCCAGTCATCTCTCGGAATGCGCTTCTATACTTTGTATTCTCGGTGTCGCGTTTCTTCGGTCGAGCACGAGAGAGGCCGAGAAGAGGAGGTTTGCGCGATCTCTTTGAAGGAGCGTACGGCGGCGCTACCAGAGCGGCCATTTTGGGACCCCAAGGCGCCACCTAGAAGTTCCTCGTTCGCGATAGCTCCGCGACCTACCTCCGGGACGGGCACGGTCTGCTAGGGCACGACGATAAAGGAAGCGCACAAAGAGCAAGAAGGCACACTGTGGGATAAGCACACTGGCGAGTAACACTGGCGAGAAACACCTCGGTCGTGGATGAAAGGACACTCGCGAGAATGCGGACGGCAAGGCCAGCAGGCAGGCAGGCAGCAGGCAGGCAGGCAGGCAGGCAGGCAGGCAGAGGCAAGACGGCGAATCGCGACGGGGTTCCTGGCAGACAGGGAGAGGAATACGAACTAAGGGTTCTATATCCATCCGGCGAGCGACGAGGAGCCGGGCCGAGTCGAGCATAGCATAGGGAGCAGAGCAAGGAACACTGGCACCACTCCGGGTAGGGGTAGCCGACGTCCGTCCCGAGTCTTTCCTCATCTGCAAGTCGTATAACCGAGCTAATTATCAAGTTAATATGGCCATTCTGTATGGAACCTCGCGCGAGAGCGAGGGAGAAAGGGAGTGGGTGGAAGTGAGATACCCGCAAGGGGTGGCGCGCGCCGTGCGAGCGAGACGGCCCGAGGTACATTGATATTATAAGTTGCTTCAATCGCTGTATTCATTTGTAAACTAACCAGGCTAAATGTATTCACCACCGCGAGGCGGCGCACCGATAGGCGGAGCCACGGGTCCCCGGGCTACGACGGCGCCCTTCCTTCCTGCCTTCCTTCCTTCCTTCCTTCCTTCCTTCCTTCCTTCCTTCCTTGCTCTCATCCTACCTTCGTTCGTTCGTTCCTTCCTTTCTTCCTTCCTTCCTTCCTTCCTTCCTTAGAGTTCCTTTCTTCGTTCATTCCTTTCTATCGCGCCTTTACAGGACATTTCTCATCAGGTCTATCCACAATCTGGACCGTCTAGACCTCTTATACTTGGACTCTGGATCCTTGTGCGAGGAGGTACCGGATCGAGGGAGGATCGAAAGGACGGAACCAAAGACACGATTTTGGAGGAGACGGGAAAGCGCGACGGCGCGACCACCTGGAGCGAGCAAAAGCCCTCGTGCGCGCGTACGCTTCTTCC